TGTCATAAAACAGCATGTGTGTTACTGTTACATGAGAAACTATCTGTTCTGTAAGCCTTCACCTGAAGTACAATAAAATATTAAAAAAAAAAAAAAGATGAGTGTTGTGAGTGAAACAAGAGATAACATTTGTCTTTAACAACAAGATTTACACTATGGAATAATTGAAATTGTGGCACATATGTTCAGAACTATGGAACAAATGTGTATATCTCAGCTCGCTTTGAGGATGGAGACTTTTAAGTGGGAAAATGCTTTTTTCTAAGTATATTAAAAAGAATAACCAGTTGACCACCTGCTCAAATTTATACAAATTTGAAGATGGAGTTGATCTTTCCTGGAGTTTTGGGTACATACTATTACCACCTATGTCATCGACAAATCTTTCTAGTCTGAGTGTACTATCATTAAAAGATTCTTCCCACTTTGTTTTTCATGTTGTATTTTTTTCAAGTTTATATACATATATAAGATAATACTCTTGCTTTTGCAGTTAAAATAATACTCTTGCTTTTGCAGCACTTAAACGCAGAAAGGTCTTACAAGTCGCAGATTTCCACATTACACAAGTCTGTTGTGAAGATGGAAGAGGAGCTTCAGAAGGTTCAGTTTGAAAAAGTGTCTGCCCTCGCAGATTTGTCTTCCACGAGGGAGCTCTGTATTAAACTTGACTCGAGCAAAGAACTCCTTAACCGACAGCTAGTGGCTAAAGATCAGGAAATCGAAATGGTATGTCATACATTTTTGAAAGGGTCTTTTGAAATTGCTTATTAAACTGTAAATTACTCCAATTTTGGAGAAGCAAAATTTTTATAAAATATTACATTAAAGCATGTCTTCCAACTTTTGATTTTATTGTTAAAGTCCAAAGATTAATTTATGTTAGCTGTGTCCGAACAATTCAAGAACACAGCAGAAGTTCTTCCTTTAATCTGTCATTTGCATTTACTTTTCGCCAGAAGAATTATAAAACACATTGACATAGCAACCAGTAAAGAACCGTGAGGTTGTCTGTGCAGCTAGATTATAACTTTAATGATATTCTTTTAAACTAAATTTTTATTTTTTAGTAATTGAGTGTGTTCTTTTAAACTGTAATTCAGTTAATTGTGTCTGCTGTGTGCCTGACATCGTGCTTGCCACTGGGAATATCACGTTCTAAAGATACAGGCCCCTGTCAAGGACCTCCCAGTATCGACATACACATAATTGTGGGTGAATATTATACTAAAGCATAGTGTTTGGAGAGGGAGTTCCTGTTTGGCTTAGAGATATCAGGGAGGAGTTCACATTCGGTGCTACTGAGCTCAGGAGGAAACAACAGTATAGGCAATGGTATGGAGGGGTAAGAAAGTATGGTCTCTTGAGTAAATTGTAGATAACTGGCGATGGCTAATGTGGCCCGAGTGGGGGAAAGTGGCTGGAGATGGGTCCAAAGAGAAAGATGGCAACCAGGCCTTGAGAGGACCTGTGTAGAGGGCACACAGTGTGACTGAAATATTGGCAGAGTTTGGTCGCGTTGACCTTTGTTCTTACCAAACCCTTTTGAACTTCTCATTTTGTTAGGAGGACGTGTGTATTAGAGAATCACATGTTTAGTTAGTTTTTGTAAGAATCCACTGTTAGTATTTCAGTGAAGTCATCTATACCATAATTCTCAGCCTCTTCCTTAAATCCGTATTTCTTTATTTCAGCAAGAGGTTCCCCCCCCGCCCCGATTCATCATTGTTCTTTATTGTTGTATAGTATTCCATTGTGTGTATATACCATAATTTATCCATTCATCTGTTGATGGGCATTTAGGTTGTTTCCATCTTTTTTTTT